GTGCTGACTGGGAGTATCAATGCATCAGCACTGCTCAGCCAGCCAGCCAGCCAGCCTGCCTGTCTCCATCTTGTGTGTGTCAATTCTCTCTCTCAGCGTCTCATCTGTGGGAAGAGGTGGGCTTTAATTAATGTTTGCGAAGTGTTCCAATAAGCCTGGAGATAGCATTGCAATAGAACTGTGAAAAAAAGGAAGGAGGATGTAGTGAAGCTGATAGCACTAGAGACAGAGAAACAGCAGAGGCGTAAGATGCTTAATGGACAAACATAAAGTCCATCATATCTCAATTCCTGCTCCCCGCTCCCTGCTACAGCTTCTACACCCTCTTTCAAATTTGGCTGTTTATTTTTGTTTTATTAAATTCATAAAATATTATGACAGCAACAAGAAATGTAAATACCGAGTTTGATATATTTCAAAGGTAACAACTACAAAACTGGGAGAGGTGTAATTACATATTACATGTAATATGTAATTAGAGAAGAAAAAAGTTCATGGCAATATGTAATTGCAAACAAAACAACTAATTTAAACTTTGACAAAGAATCTATATATTATCTATGTCTGTCTGTCTGTCTGCCACTGCAGCATGTCAAGTATCAATTTATTTTTCCAATGTTGCATCTTAGTTTTTTGGCAACCCCTTTCCACTCCAAGAAATATTAACCACATGAGCAATCAAGTTAATGAAATCCAAATATTGGGGACATAGACAAAAAGGCTGTGCATCTTTGACATTCAGAAATCACTTTGGTTTCTAGCATGTTATCTTTCTTCCTGTCCTCTGTCAAATTCCTCACACACTTCCTACAATTTGAGCCTTGCAGGTCCTGAAAAGTAGTGAACCTCTGTCAAAAATGATAGAAGAAAAATAGAGGTCTCCCCACTTCCAAGTTATAGGTTCCAAATATCCTCTGCTGTTTATTTTCTAGCAGAGGGGAAAATATATATGGATTTCTTTTCAGAAACAAATATTGGTGAACAAAACCCATTTGGTCCATACTCCCTGCTGCTTTTGTTGTTGTGTCTTTGAACTAAGTGTGCCAGAGGGCAAAATCTCACTATAGCAGCAACTATTTTCAAGGCAAGGTGACTTTCTACCCCATCCTTTCCTTTGCTGTATCAGATTTCAGTGAGGTAGTCCATGAAATAAGGTGAGATACGAAGCTAGATCTCCAGGTTCCTAGAAACAGAGTCATCTTAAGTATTAGGATGCAGAAATTTGACAAAAGATCTTTGTTTCAGAAGCAATGGACAATGAATAAAGCCATTTTTTGTAATGCTTCCCGTCTAAGCCATGTACAAAATGATCTGATTCCCTCATATCAAACCATTGTTTCTTTAACCATGAGTTGGTGAATAAACCTAATTGGTTAAGTTCAAGCACTATGCTAAACCAAAATCAAATAAACCATATTTTTGGCCAGGTTCGCATACTGTGGTATGCCATGAGTTCTCAAGTATGCTTTTTGAATAAAACACAATGAATTGGGTTTATCTAGCACTCTAAATCATAAGTCATGGTTTATAATCTTCAATTTTATTTATTTTTAAAATTTACATGGTCCCTTTTAAAATCAAGTTTTTTTTTCCTAATGGGTAGGTTCACCCTACATGCTAAGACTAAATCAAGCAAGCCACATCATGAAATATATCTTAATGTGTGAATTTGGCCTATGAGTTAGTTCAACCTGAGTAACATTCAACCTGCATGATGCAGGCATCAGAGCTATGGGAGGTCATCCACTAATCTGCATAAGAAAGTAGAGAGAAAGAACCAGTGACGTCCCATAGAACTAGAACTAATGTTTCCTTTCCCCAGCTTTTTAGCCATCTTTGTCACCATTCACCAGGGCTGGCTTTAGGGTAAGGCTGAGTAAGCACTGGTCTAGGGTGCCAAAGTTTAGGGGGCACCAACGCCTCTGCTCCTGAATCATTCTAAAAATGCAAATCTTCACATTGGCAGGAGCTGGTGTGAGACTAGGCTGAAGCTGCCATAACCTAAAGATGAAGCAGGCACTAAGCCCGCCCACTCTGGGTCGTCTTGGTCATTTGAGTCATCCAGACTTGGTGGCTTCCTTCCCTCTAACTAGTGCCTGGCAGCCTAGTTGGGAAGGACATGGGTACGTGCGTGTGTGTGTATGAGAAAGAGCAAATGTACCTTGCAACCAGTAAAGTTTTGCTGTTA